TCTTAAGGGCGTTTGGGGGAGAGGGGAAGGGGAGAAGGGAGAGGTCCTTAGCAAATGGTTGAAGCCCACGTCCAAACCCCTTTGGCACTAAATCTCAGGGGCCTGGCACATTGCCCGGAGCTGCCAGCAGCCGGAGGGCCCAGCCCTTCCCTCTGCCGCCCAGAGAGCTGCCTGGAAGTGCCCTCTGGCCCTCCCTCCCTCTCGCCTGGAGCCCCTGCTATTGGGGCAGGGATTGAAACTCCCACCTGTGGGAGTCCTTCCACGGCACCAAACCTCACCCACTTCAACGCCTGGAGCCATGGGTGGGTTGGCTGCTTTTTTTGACCTGCGGGCAGGTCCATTTTCGACCTCATCCGTCACAAAATTGGAGGGTTTCTGACAGCCGTGCATTGGATCATCTGCTCGCCAGGGGAGAGAGATGCCATGGTTAGCGTCCCCTTGTCTTCCCAATTAATTGCAGCCCTCCAGCCGCCGGCTCTCTGCAGCGAGCCACAGTTGCTTTGCAAGGCACATTCCCGCCCCCCCCCCAAAAAAAGGTGGGGGGCAGTCCCCAGGGAAGGTCCTTGCCGCCCCCGCCAATGAAGCCAGGCGTTCATCAGGTGCTGGATGGGGCCTTTTCAGAGGGCGGCCCAAAGAAGGAGCCGCGTGTTCCTTTTTTGCTGGGTCATCTTCAGTCTTGGTGAGCCGCCAGGATGCGTGCGTCGGGTATCGCTCGATCTCCGGGCAAGTGTTGAAAGAAACGAAGCCATCATCCTTTCCGAGAGACCCAAGGTGAGGAGAAGGCGGCGCAATCCACCTTCCTCCTTAGATCCTGACGGTAAAAACGGTCCCGCCGTGTCTGTATTCAGAGGGACGCGCCTTAGGAACCAGCCGCAGCCTTGCCCCCCTCCTCTGAAGGTTAATTCGGGAAGATAATAGCGCCAGCAACAGATGCTCACAGATGCTCCAGCGAGGCGGTTCACGGAGGAAAAAATCAACAGGAATCCTCTACAAGTCCAGCCTTTGCTCGCTAGCCTAATAAAACTGCGCCGCTCGGGCTTTATTTATTAACAGGGGTCGGCTATAAATACACTTGTTACCAATGTTTTTACCTTCTGCATCGTAGCACTTTATCTTCCGTCGCATCTGTTGGTTCCGTTTCTGAACAAATGAACTCCCCCACCCTAATTCCCCACAGGCAGAGCCCATCCCCCTCCCCCTCTCTCCTCCTTGTAGGTACAACACAGTGGCATACCCCATTTTTCTTGCAGGGCTAATTAGCCACTGGTAAATTAAAAGCACCCGTTCTTTCCAGCAACACCTCTCTCGTCCTCCCTTAGAACAAATGGCAGGAAGGATGAGAACACGTCCCTCTTAAAAATAGAGGGTGGGATGTTGGGTGAGGTGTCCCTGATCCAAAGGTTTTCCTCCCAGCCATCAGCTCCAACAAACCTCCTCCCCCTCCCCCTCCCCCTCCCCACAGGAAGCTAAACAGATCTTTGCATGCATGAAGGCAGAATGGGGACACGGCTGAATTCCAGGCTCTGGTTTCGCAGTCATGCGTACCTGCTGAAGGCTGGCTGCAGTTAAGTTGCGGGCAGAGGGAGAGGCTCACACCCCAGCTTTTCTTCTCCTCCTCCTCCTCCTCCTCCTCCTCCCTATCTGGAGTTACTAGAAACCTGCAGTCTTGGAATTCTGCCTGGAAGGGAGCCTCAATAGATAGATAAATATTATGATCGTGGAACCTTGATTCAACAGGCCTGCAGGAGGATTATCGCTTCCAAATATCCATCACGTTGTATCTTAACAGACCTTGCGATGAAATGGGTCAGCCGTGGGTGTGAAATGACCACAGATTTGGTTTCCTTGTCAGGGATGTTTTGAATGCACTGGAACGTGCTGTGGGTTTTTGGGGGGGTTTCTTTGGGGGGGTGGGGTGTTCAGACAAAACTGCGGTCCTTTGCAACCCAAGACTGCTGGGGTGTAGCTGTTAAATTGAAATTTGAGGAAGGTTTGGGACCTGAAAGGATAACCTAAGCAGGTTAGAATTGCTGGATTTGGGTGGCATATAAATTTAATAAATGAGGATGGCTGCTGCTGCTGCTGTTATTATAGTTAGTCCTCAACTTGCAACAGTTCATTTACTGACCAAAGTTACAGCAGCACTGAAAAAAAGGGATTTAGGAACGTTTTTCACACAACGACTGTTGCAGCTTCCCCACGGTCAAAAGAACAAAATGTGGACACTTGGCCACTGACTTGTATTTGTGACAGTTGCCATGTCCCCCGGTGACGTGATCCCCCTCTTGCATCTCAGAAGCCGGGTCCATGGGGAAGCCAGGTTCACTTAACAACCGTGTCACAACTTAACAACTGCAGGGATTCACTTAAACAATCCTGGCAAGAAAAGTCGTAAAACGGGGCAAAACTCACTTAAACGCCTCGCTTAGCCACAGAAATCTGGGGCTCCCCTGTGGTCTCCAGCCGAGGGCCGCCTGGAGCCAAGCCGGCCTCCTCCGTTGCTTGGGGGGGAAACATGGCCAGCCCTTGGGGGCCTATGGAACCGCTGTCCTTGGTGCTGAAACAAGGCCGGGCCATCCAGGCCCCTTCTGTGGGTCACCCGTGGCTTCCCCCAAAATACGGTGGTTCTGAATTGATTCGGGCATGGAAAGAATAACAGAATAAGAGGGGTGGGAGGGACCTTCCAACCCCCTCCTCAAGCAGTAGGGCCTATACCCTTTCAGACAGATGGCTGTGCAATCTCTTCTTGAAGACCTCCAGTGATGGAGCAGCCACAACTTCCCTTCCACTGTCAGGAAACGTTCTCCTTAGTTCTAGATTGTATCTCTCCTCGATGAGTTTCCATCCGTTGTTTCTTGTCCTGCCCTCAGGGGCTTTGGAGAATAAGTTGCCCCCCTCTTCTTTGTGGCAGCCCCTCAAATATTGCAACATTGCTGCACCCCAATTCCTTCTTTTCACTAGACTAGACATACCCGGAACCTGCAACCATTCGTTGTATGTTTTAGCCTCCAGACCCCTAATCATCTTCGTTGCTCTTTTCTGCACTCTTTCCAGAGTCTCAACATCTTTTTTATAATATGGCGAACAAAACTGGATGCCGTATTCCAGGTGTGGCCTTACTAAGGCCTTATAAAGCGGTAGTAGACCTTTACACGATCTTGATTCCATTCCTCTGTTAATGAAGCCTGGGATTGAGGGAGGGTTTCTGTAAAGGGCCTAAGGAAGAGAGGGTGCAGAATACCCTGCCCCTCACCCTTAAACACCAGGAAAAGACCTACAAATCCTTGCTGTGTTTGCGCAGGTGACATAGCCGTTACGACTACGTCCTTGTCAGCGGAAGGAAGCTTACATTGTTTGCATTTAGACATACTGTCTTCCTTCTAAATAACCCTGACTTTGAAGCCCTTTGGCATTAAAGGAAGAATGAAATAGAATTTCGCTTTTTCTCTCTGGATCAAACAGTCAAGTTGAGTATCAATACAGTTATTGTGTTTTGTATTTCAAAAGCTGCCCGGGGAATATTTTATTGATGGGAGAGGTTTCAATGTAATTGTCTTCACAGTCTCCGTTGCCGTCACATATCTGCATATATTTAGATTAAATTCTGAAGAGGGGAATGCTAGCAAGCATCAAAAACTCGTGAAGCCATAGAGAGCAGTATCTTTACGGTTAATTTTGAGGCAAGCTCTGTCATTCTTTCAATATAATTTACAAATCTCCTCTTCCTTTGCACCATCTAATTTAATCAGAATGGCTCACGCGGTAAGTTTACACTGGCAGAAAGCTGCAGGTGATGTTCAAATAAATGTCAAGTCTTTTTTTTTTAAAAAAAAAATAGAAAACCTTCCTTCCCATTCTGAGCAAGGCTTCTTCCCTCAGAGGCTCCAAGCCGGAGGCAACGCAGAGCTGAGATTTTTCTCTCGGGTCTGTCAGTGACCCCCGTTTTCCTTCCTACTTGGGGTCCCCGGCCTAGCCCAGGTCGGCTTTCAAACTATGCCTCATATTTGTAAACCTGCAACGGTGCCCAGTGCAAAGTTGGCTTTGACCCTTTAGGCCAAGCCCTCGTCTCGGTCTTCCCTCTGCATATGCTTGGTGGTGGGGAGGATCGTCAACCCTCGCCTCCTCTCTGGTTGTAAAGAGCCTTTTGCAAGGAGGCTCCCAGGGCGGGTCAGCCCAAGTTCTGCCTCACACTGGCCCTCTCGGTTCGGGCCGGAGGGAGCCGGAGATGATTTCCTGGGCGTTTTTAAGACCAAACGGAAGGCTAAACAGCTCTGCGATTGCAGGCTGCCAGATCCCTGGTGGAAAATGGGTTGCAGGACACTGCAAATTCCGATGTGCGAAACATGCTGCCTGCCTGGTCCCCCATGCGCTGTGAGTGACATTTCACATTCCCGCTCCACTAATGTCACTGCAAGCATGGTTGGATTGAGGTCAGTCTCTGGCCGTTCCCTCCCCCGACTCCCCCTTTGCCCCAAGCCTTTGGCTCTTGCGTTCCAGTTCCCCTTCCCTCCCAGTCCAGCAGTTCTTGGACCAAGCCAGCGTGGTATTGATCACTGGGCCAGCAGCCTTGCGCAGGCCGTCCGAGGGAGGGGAGAGCCTCACTCCACAGCTGCACCACCAAAAGGCGTTGAGCGACAGAGACAGGCACGCATATGTGCGTGCTCCCTCCCTCCCTCCCTCCTTCCTTCCCTCCTTCCTTCCCTCTGTCACTCCTTGGCTGGGCATTCTCGTAGCTGGCTGGAAATACAGCAGGCAGACCCGCGTGCGTCCTCCTCCTGTAGGGCTCTTTTGTTCCGCCGACAAGCAGCTTTGGCACCGGAGCTCAGGAGGAGCTCAGCTCCGGGGGGAAATTCCTGCGGCTGAACCGCAGAGAGCGCTTGGCTTTTCCTCAGGTAAGGCTGCCTGGGGTGTGGGTGGCGCAAAGTGCAACTCCCCAGGAGAGACAGACGTGGGCTGGCCTAGAAAGGTTTGAAAGGTCCTGTTTGTTGGTGGGGGGAACGATGTTCAGCCTCCCTCCACCCCCGTCCCGCTATCGGACGCACCACCCGGTCAGTCCTGCCGTTGGCACCACCGGGCTTTCCAGTGGACGTGGCGCCCTCAGGCCGGGCAAAGTTGAGCCTGTGCTCCAGCTGACCGACTGGTTCAGGTTCCTTTGTCCTGGGCACATCTGGCTGGCCACCCTCGGGCCAGGAGGAAGAGAGCGTGGCGTTCTATGCGCAGAGGACCCCCGGCCTGAACTCGGAAGGGCTGCGGGGTGCAGGGGGGCCAGCTGGGATCTGGGGCCAGGGAGCCGAAGCCTGGCAGGACGGGGTGAGGAGGGGCCGGAGCAGCTGCCCTGGCTGCTCCATCTCCTGTGGAGCACGTGGACTTGGGCTTGGGAGGAAGCCGGAGCTGCTTGGCTCTCGGAGCCCAGAAGGCTTTGAAATAATGAGGAGGGGGCACTGCTTCGGAGAGGGGTCCTCGGCCCTGGTGGGGGCCTTTCCTGCAGCCCCCCCCTCTCTGGAAGGGGAAGAGGCACTGCAGGGTTGCGGGGGGGGGGAGCCCCGGCTGGGACATCCTGAACAACAAGCCGGGCTTCGTGGGGGGGAGCAACCGGGGGCGGGGGGGGGAGAGGGGCAGAGAGCCGTGTTCCCCTTTTCTATGGGGCCAGGAGGAACCTCGTGGGGGGAGGGCCGTTTCCCCACGGGGGGGGGGCAGGGGGGAAGGTTGGGGGGGGGGCTCTGCCAGGGGGAGGAGAACAAGCAACGGGGTCTGTTTTGTGTCCGGCAAGAGTGGTTGAAACTTCCCTGCGGATTCTTAGACGGGACCATGGCTGTCCCCACCCCAGGGTCTCTCTCCTCCCCCCCCCCACAATGAAGGGCATCCTAGGGGAGGAAGTGAGTCTGGTGAGAGGGTGAAGGAGGCACCGGTTTGGGGTCACGAAGTGTAGGGACGAAAGGCAGGGATGCCCATCCGGTCCCACCGCCTACCACGCTCCTCTCCACGGCGGGGAGGCTGGAAGCACAGAACAGAATTCCCAGCCAGCACTTGCTTCTTGTGCTAGAGGCTGGCCTGGATGGGGAGGGGGTCCCGGCCAGCTCGGGGGGGGGCCTGCATGGTCCCTAAAGTCCTTTTGGTTCGGATGCTCTTTAACGGGCAGGACTGGGATGGGGCAACATTTCTCCAAAGATCATTTTGAGTTTTGGATGGCTTCTACCTTGCAAAGGCCTCTGAACATGTGCAGAGAGCTTCCTCCCCAGGCGTTTGACTCATGCACCTTTGCTTCCTAATGACTCAGAACGTTGTTCCCCCACCGTGGCGACTTTAAGAGGCCTGGACTTCAACTCCCAGCGTTCCCCAGCCAGCCGGGTGGAGAAGTGCTGAACGCCAGGGGAGCCTGGCGATTTAAACCCTCCTGGGCTCCGTCCTTATTCTCATTGGCACGTCTCAGCCGTGTGCGGTTTGGGAAGGGGGGGGCAACCGCAGTTCCCAGCCGGCTGGGGGGTTATTCACCCGGTTGCACCCGCTTTGAAACGCCCTCTGCTGCACCCGTGTCCAGTTTGAATTCGCACAGACTTCCTCCTTTTCAGGGAATGGAGAGTCGCCGGGCGCCAAACCTGTTTTTATTTGCCTTTTAAAAGGGGGAAACTCCTGCAATGCTGCCTGTCAGCCAAGAACGGGGCTCAAACCCATTTCCGGATGAGCAGTGACATTTCCACTCCCCCTTGTTGCCTGAGGTTTCCGCATGTCGGGTGGTGGAAATGGAGGAAGCTTGTTAGCCGGTGCCGGGCATCCCCCACCCTGTCAAAAATCTCCCCCCCCCACCCGCCACCAGGCCCCCTCAGTCTTCCAAGGGGCTTTTTCCCGGAGGAATCTCCTCTTTAATGGTTGTGTGTTTCCATCGGTAAAAACCTGAGCTTGAGGGAGAGGAAGGAAAAGCTGTTTATTTTCCACTGAGCTGCCAGCAGAGCACATCACAATCACCCCCATTTTACAGACAGGGCAACTGAGGCTACGAGAAGGGCAGTGGGGTGGATGCACAGGACAGACTGTGCTTTTCTGGACCAAGGCAGGGCTCAACTCTCCCTCATTTTTTGGGTCTGGCTTGACCAGAAGGGCAGAAAACGTCAGCGGTGGTTGAACTACTCCAGTTTCCCTTCGGCTGAGCTGGCTGGAGTTCAGCCCCACCTGGGGAAGCCTTTTGCTGTTTTTCTCTTGGCTGCTTTTGGGATAATTCTGCTTTTGCTCACAAAGGTTCTACTGACTTGCTTTACTTTTTAGACCTCTCCTTTAGACCAGGGGTCTCCAACCTTAGCAACTTTAAGCCTGGAGGACTTCAACTCCCAGAATTCTTTTAAGGTCCTCCAGGCTTAAAGTTGTTAAGGTTGGAGACCCCTGCTTTAGCCGAAGGGTAAGCTTGCGTGACCTCACTTATGCTCGCAAGACTGGAGTCGGCCTCCATCTTAGCGTCTCCCACGACTGACATTTGGAACCCCGGACTCATCGCTTGACCGCTGGATCGCAGGGGGCAGCTGTCCAAAGCAGGCCTTGGGGTCAGAGGCAGTACGGGGTATCTACCGCACCTCCACCATCACGAAAAAAAATGGAAACTGGGTGGGGAGAGAAGCAGCGGTCCAAGATGAAACGTTCAGGATGCGACCCGGGGCCGCTCGGAGGTGCTCTTCCTGTGGCTGAGAACAACAAGGCGCCGAATTCAGGGAGATCTGCCTGGTGGCCTTCCCTGCAAAATACACCCCAACCCGCCAGGCTCTGCAAAGGAGCAAATTTTGGCCGGGCTGTACCTGGATTTTCTTCCTTGATGCCGGTGGGTCAGTTCGAAAGCAGGTTCTGAGGCTTGGTTTGCTTTCGTAAAACCCACCCCCGTTGCACCCAGAAGGTGTGAGGTGCAAAGCCAAAAATAAACTTCCAGGACCGGAGCATCAAACCGTAGACAAGACGGGAGAAGAAAGGCCCTTCCATGGAAGCTGCCTCTGCTCCGAGAGCCGAGGGGTTGAACAGGGGCCCCCCAACCAAAGGAGAGGAAGGGTCCTTTGCTCCTCTGTTTCTACAGGCTAAAGCGAGCCGAAGGGCGAAAAGGATAACCACGACCTGGTTGGGGAGGCCCAGGTATTTCGTCCCAGGGCGGGGGCTGCGATCTGAGAGAAGGAATTGCTCTCGGAGGAGAGAGATCCAGGCACGGATGCAGAATTGGTGCAGAGGAAGCTGCCGGGAGGGGGGAAGGGGGGGGCGGAGGAAATGCCACACAAACAGGTGGCCTCTTTTCAGCCAACTGCAAAATCTCACCCAGGGCTATTCAACGTCCCCGAAAAGGGATTTGTGGCTGTCAGCAAGTTTATTGTTTCTGACAGCTTTTCCATCAGCCTGGTGGAGCCGGTGCATCTTCCCCGGAGGGGCGGTTGCCATGGTGAGGCTGCTGGGGGGCGGGGGGGGGCTTCTTCCCCACGGGGAAAGGAGGGACGCCCGTCTGGGTGAGGGGCAGAAAATGCAGAGGGCGAAGGAGGCCCAGGGCAAGAGAGGCCTGGAACGAGGGTCCGAAGAGACGGCGGGGCTACTGTAGCAGCTTCTGCTGGGTGAACCTGAAACCAGAACCAAAAGGTGCAATAGAGAAATTTGGGGAAAGAAAAAAAGGGTCTTCCTGCCTTGAGGGCAGTTCAGGCCAATTCGGTCCCCCAGACTGGATGGGGTCCTGTTGCGAAGCCGGCTTGCTTGGTGGATATACAGGTTGGCACCCCCCAACTCTGGTCTTCGTGCTCTGGGGCAGCTGCCTCCCTACTTGGGGGAAAGAACCTCTCTTGGTGGGGATGGTGGTTGGGAAGGGTGTAGACCAGGGGTCTCCAAACTTGGCCACTTGAAGACTTGTGGGAGTTGAAGTCCACAAGTCTTCAAGTGGCCAAGTCTGGGGACCTCTGTTGTAGACCCTGAGTGTGGATCGCTGTCTTGGCCATGTTGGTCAACCCCGAGGCCTGTTGAAGGCCGCTCGTACCACAGCCGCCAGGGCAGAGGAGAAAGGACCGGGTAGCGCAAGAGGCTCTCCTAGATTAAATGTAGCCTTGAGAGGAAGGAGCCCTGGCAGGTCCCCTCTGGAAAGCGAGCCGTTGCGCAGCGGAGCCTCCTCCGCCACCGGGGCTGAAGCACCCAGACTCGAGGGA